CCCTCCCAGCCTCTGCAAAAACACCCAGCACTGAGACGCTCGCCCTGGCCCCCAGCCTGAACGGGGGGTCCAACATCAGACCCCAGCGCTCACCACGGGGCGACACCGCAAGGGTAAGGTGCCCGGCTCCCAAGTGAAAAGCCACCAGCCTAGCGTGCCCACTTGGCACTGAAAGAGGCACCCACGCCTGAAATCAACCCGTCCACTCAAACCACGTCCCATCCACTCTACAGAGCAGATACCTCATGCAGGAGCGTGGGTGATCGGCCTGCCCAAAGGCCACCACTGGCAGACACACAGCATCTGTGCCCCAAAGAACCCCACGGAGATGCAGCCACTTGGGATCAGATGCACAACAGGAAAGTCCTGTGGGACGGGAGCTTTCACACCCACCCAGGGCAGCCAAGAATTCAAGGGTTCCTCCAACTGAAGACCTCGCTTCTCCAACTGGGCCAACGGGCTGAGGGCCCCGCCCCGTCGCTCCGAGAGATTATGTCTCCATTGCCGGGTAAGCCATGGTTCAAACCTAGCCCTCCTATCTGCACACGACACTCAGGATCCCCGCCCTAGGGTGGAAGGTCCAAGCCTGGGTCAAAATAACACTCAGGCCCAATGGCTTTGCAGACTGGACACAGCCCCACTGGACTTGTGCTCTAGGAGTATCCCACAATCCAACGGGCTGACTCTCTTTGGGAGACAGCCACGTTTTCCCACCCAGCACCAGACAGGGTGAGAATGGCCACACTTTGGGAGAGCACAAGGAAGTCTGGGTTATGGGCAGTTGGACATGAGGAGGCCCAGGTTGGGACCCAGGGATCAGTAACCTGTGGAACTCCTTGCCAGAAGATGTTGTGAAGACCAGGACTTTAACAGGGTTCAAAAAAGAGCCAGATAGATTCATGGAGGTTAGGTCCATCAATGGCTATCAGCCAGGATGGGTAGGAATGGTCCCTCGCCTCTGTTTGTCAGGGAAATGGGTGACGGGAGGGATCACTAGATGATTCCCTGTTCTGTTCATTCCTTTAGGGGCACCTGGCATTGGCCACTGTGGGCAGACAGGACACTGGACTAGATGGACCTTTGGTCTGATCCAGTCTGGCCGTTCTTGTGTTATGTTAATTCCTACCCTGGGGTTACACTGTGTAGATGCTCAAACCCGCATCTGCTAACGTGAGTTCAACTTCTCCCAGGCTTACACTGCAGCGCCGACACCCCCAGAGAGTCTACGGCAGCGATGGGCAAGGCAGGCTAGCGAGCGGCCCTCCTCCATCTCAGCAGGCTGCAAGGTCATCCGAACTGAGACAGTCTCCGGAGACAGGGCAGCTTTGCTAACGGGGCTGGCGCGCCTACAATCTGTGGGAGGTGCCGACTGACCCGTGGCAGAGATTTGGTGGGATGCAAAGGGAGCCCACGGCTCTCACAGTCAGTAACGGGTGCAGTCAGCACACACCTCACTTCCTGGGCCCCGGCTGTATGTGAATGTCCCTTTAGCAATTACCAGTAGGGAAAAAAAGATGCAGACGGCAACCAGCAAAATCTGGCCACCCTGCACGTGGTCAGTGGTCAACAAAATGTCCCGTGAGCCGCACACAGAACCCCGAGGGGCCCACCACTGCTCTGGGGGTCGGTTAGAAGCTTCCAAACCCGAGGCGTAGAACCCGGAGCCGTTCCCTCCGGCTACCGTTAGCTCACTGGGGAGGAAAAAGGAACACACAGAAAATTCCCGAAAGCCCAGGCTGGGCGATTCAAGGCGTGGCCTGGAGAGAGAGACTGTCGGGGGCTGCTGGAAAGGACAAAGACTTCCCCTCTGCAGCGTCCAGCTGTAATGCGTGGCAGACCTCTGGCTGGGTACATTCGAGACCCAGAGAGGCCTTCCGGGGACCCTGTCCGTCCGAGGAGAGGGAGCCAGAGCGGCCCAGGATGCCAAGGAGAGCGCCGAGGTGCCAGAGCCGTGCCAAGCCCTGCCGAAGCCTCACCTTTCTCCTCTCTGATGGTGGCGTACTGGCTGTTGGCCAGGGGGCAGGACGAACGATTGCAGAGCCCTGTCAGGTTGTACTCGTTCCGGCAAAAGCTTTGGGTCTTTGTCCTGGAAAGAAGAGACGTGGGATGAGCCGCGCACAGTCCACCTGAGCATCTCACAACCGGAGCACGCGCTCATGCCTTGCGCTCCACGGCGGCGGCGGTCAGGCCGAGAAGGGTGTTTCTGCCTCAGTTCCCCCACCTATAAAATGGCACTAGATGCCCTCGGGGTATGTCTGCGCAGGGATCTCAAACGTAACACACCTTAGGGTCAATGCCAGGGCTCAGATCCTCCTTGTGGGCCAGCAGGCACCCTCCTCTGGCAGGACTCGGGGGGGCACTGCCACCCCCAGGTGATTTAAGCCCTCCTAGGGCCCCCACCGCCACCATGGGCAGCGCACTGGGGCTAGAGCAGCTTCCAGCTCCACACCCGTATCGGCACGTCCCTGTGGTCTGCAGCTGTCCGGTGCTCAGGATGGTTCGGGGTGGCCGCCCCAGGCCCATGCTAGGGATGGGCCGGTCCCCCATACTCAGGTTAGCTTGTGGGGCCCTGGGTGGGCTGGGGCCGGTCGTAGGCATCAGGCCCCCCTGCACTCACCGCGATGGCAGAAGCTGGGGGCAAGAGGCGCATCCCACA